ATATATAGCTGGATAGTGGATGCAGATGTGGCGAGAGTAAATTGTACCATTTCTGTGTCTTACTAGCAGGTAGAGTAGGGAAAACCAGGCTGGTTTTGAGAGGGCGGTATTAATTCCTTTCCTACCTGTTCATTCTCAATCTTTCCTTTCTTCAACTTGCCATTAGTAAGTAGTATGATTTTTTATATGTTAATTTATAACAATGACATTTGCTTACAACTGCAGTTAAATTACTTGTTCTACTATCATTCTATTAATATATTAAATATTCCCATAGTAAAATTTAGAACAACACATTTAAGCGAACAATATTGTTTTCAATTAGATCTCATCAGGCTTAACTCTAATATATATAAGTTTACAAATAAAAATTCAAATATAAACCAATCACGGTGTTTTGTCTATAGGATAATACGATGGTGAATAATTGTGCAATGTTATTCACCATCGTATTATCCTATAGACAAAACACCGTGATTGGTTTATATTTGAATTTTTATTTGTAAACTTATATATATTAGAGTTAAGCCTGATGAGATCTAATTGAAAACAATATTGTTCGCTTAAATGTGTTGTTCTAAATTTTACTATGGGAATATTTAATATATTAATAGAATGATAGTAGAACAAGTAATTTAACTGCAGTTGTAAGCAAATGTCATTGTTATAAATTAACATATAAAAAATCATACTTAATATCAGTAAAAAGTTTGAGCATTGTGGATTAGATCAAATAAAGTATAATTATATTTTAATAGTTTACACACAATGATAAGTTTTGTTATTGGTAATATTTCGAGCAAAATTACTGCCCGTGTTCACACCACTGTTGGAATTGTTTTATTCACACATTTATGATTTGTATTCACATATATAGTTCATTATTATTATTTTGTTCATTCATGTTTTGTGTGTGCATATGTGTGTTCAGAATTATACTCCACATTCATTCATGTGTTTGTGTTTAGAATTATATTCCAAGTTGTTGATAGTTGTACTGAGTCACCCTTGTTACATGTATCCGGTGTGACTTTAATGAATATCGACTCTGTTATGAGTCTTTCTTTCCATTTGTTCATGTTTGTTTTTAGAATACACACATTCTCCCAATCGATATTGTGGTTTTTGTCCCACGCATGTGCAGCTATGGATGAATTTTTTTCAAGATTTTTGTAGGCTTGTGTCACTGTTGGTTGACCTTTAGTTAGGCGTTTATGTTCATTCACTCTTATTTTGAGTGATCTGGACGTTTGCCCCACATATTTAGTTGGACAGTCAGCACAAGATATTTTATAAATCAAATTGTTTTTATCCATCATTTTTATGGGATCTTTTAGTTGATTTATTTTATTTTTGATTAGATTTGTCGGTTTAAAGGTTGTTCGAATGCCGATATTTTTGAGGTTTCTTTGTATTGCCTCTGATGTACCATTTTTATATGGTATTGCGACTGTTTTTCTCCATTCTTCCTTCTTGTTATTCTCCGGTTTTACTCTCTTTTTTCTCTTTTTTATATTATCTTTTATAAATTCTCTAGGGTAGTTGTTTTCGAGTAACATTTTGAATAGGACTTTTATTTCTTTACGCTGGTCCTCTGGTGCTGTTGTAAGTCTACGTATTCTATCTGCAAGACCCTGTATTAATCCTCGTTTCACCGAGAGTGGATGAGCTGAGTAATAATCAAGGAATCTTCCAGAATGTGTGGCTTTTCTATATATCGTTGTTTTTATGCTACCATCTGTCATTCTTTGTAGCTTGCAATCTAACATGGGCAGTTCTCCAATTTCATTCTCTAATTCCATAGTAAATTTTATTGAGTCGACGTGTTTGTTTATGTGTGATAAAAGTTTCTCAGTATCGTTTTTTTTCACTATTACTAGCGTGTCGTCTACATATCTCCACCAACATTTTAGTGATGATCTGAATGGTTTAAGGGCATTCTCCTCCCAATAATCCATGAAAATGTCAGCTATAATTGGTGAGATAGGCAATCCCATGGCTACTCCCTCATTTTGTTGGTATATTTTTCCTTCGAATGTGAAATATGTTGTTGTCAGACAGAATTCTACCCCTTTTATTATTTCTTCTACGGATAACTGTGTTCTGTCTTTCAGGCCATTATCTTCATTTAGTTTCTCTTTCAGTGCAATCATGGCCATTTGAATGGGTATTTTCGTATAAAGACTGTTTACATCAAAGCTAACTAGTATTTCTTCCTCCTCTATTTTAGTGGTTTTTATTCGCCTCACTAATTCAAATGAATCTACTATTCTAGCTTTTGAGTTGTCTCTTGTCGGTCTTAGTATTGTCGAGAGAAATCTGGATAGCATATACGTTGGTGTGTTTCTGAAGTCTACAATCGGTCTTATTGGATATCCCTCTTTATGCAATTTTATCTTACCATATATCCTAGGTACATTACAGGATTTTGGGATAATTTCAAACCATTTGTTTGAAAACTCGAGCGGTTCACTTAGAAGTAGCTTACGCTCTTTCTATTGATTCATTCCTAATGATGCTTTCACGCTTTACCAACCGCAGGGGGACTCCGAGGGAGATATTCAGTGACCGGGGTACAAACTTTGTGGAGGCTGATCGTGAGTTACAGCAAGTTGTGCCACAATTAGACAGTGATTGTATGATGAGAGCTATGGCAAATCGTGGTATAGAATGGAAGTTAAATCCACCTTATGCTAGCCACCGTGGCAGAGTATGGGAGGGGTTGATCAGAAGCGTACGTCGAGTGTTAAGCGCAGTTTCGAAGGAGCAAGTCCTCACAGATGAATCACTCATGACCTATTTGACAGAAGTAGAAAGGATACTAAATAGTAGGCCGCTAGTACCTGTTTATGATGACCCAAGTCAGTTGGATGTGCTGACACCAAATCATATTCTCTTATCAAGAAATCCTGAACAGGTTCCTGAAATCGACGTTAGTTTATGTGGACGTTATTCACGACGATGGAAACAAGGGCAACTCCTTGCCGATACGTTTTGGAGATGGTGGAAGCGGGAGTACTTGACGACCTTACAATCGCGTGCAAAGTGGTTTCAACGACATCGAAACTTACAAGTGGGAGACCTAGTACTAGTGACTGCTGAGCCTTCACCTCGCAATCGTTGGTCAATGGGAATAATTACAGGCGTTACGGCAATCTGTGATGGGTATATCAGATAAGTGGATATCAAGACACCGAGGGGTATAATCAACCGAGATGTGCGTAAGGTTTGCCTATTAGAAGGTATTGAGGAGAGATAAGCACTTTGTAGGATATATAGCTGGATAGTGGATGCAGATGTGGCGAGAGTAAATTGTACCATTTCTGTGTCTTACTAGCAGGTAGAGTAGGGAAAACCAGGCTGGTTTTGAGAGGGCGGTATTAATTCCTTTCCTACCTGTTCATTCTCAATCTTTCCTTTCTTCAACTTGCCATTAGTAAGTAGTATGATTTTTTATATGTTAATTTATAACAATGACATTTGCTTACAACTGCAGTTAAATTACTTGTTCTACTATCATTCTATTAATATATTAAATATTCCCATAGTAAAATTTAGAACAACACATTTAAGCGAACAATATTGTTTTCAATTAGATCTCATCAGGCTTAACTCTAATATATATAAGTTTACAAATAAAAATTCAAATATAAACCAATCACGGTGTTTTGTCTATAGGATAATACGATGGTGAATATCATTGTGCAGTTATTCACCATCGTATTATCCTATAGACAAAACACCGTGATTGGTTTATATTTGAATTTTTATTTGTAAACTTATATATATTAGAGTTAAGCCTGATGAGATCTAATTGAAAACAATATTGTTCGCTTAAATGTGTTGTTCTAAATTTTACTATGGGAATATTTAATATATTAATAGAATGATAGTAGAACAAGTAATTTAACTGCAGTTGTAAGCAAATGTCATTGTTATAAATTAACATATAAAAAATCATACTACTTACTAATGGCAAGTTGAAGAAAGGAAAGATTGAGAATGAACAGGTAGGAAAGGAATTAATACCGCCCTCTCAAAACCAGCCTGGTTTTCCCTACTCTACCTGCTAGTAAGACACAGAAATGGTACAATTTACTCTCGCCACATCTGCATCCACTATCCAGCTATATATCCTACAAAGTGCTTATCTCTCCTCAATACCTTCTAATAGGCAAACCTTACGCACATCTCGGTTGATTATACTCCTCTGTGTCTTGATATCCACTTATCTGATATACCCATCACAGATTGCCGTAACGCCTGTAATTATTCCCATTGACCAACGATTGCGAGGTGAAGGCTCAGCAGTCACTAGTACTAGGTCTCCCACTTGTAAGTTTCGATGTCGTTGAAACCACTTTGCACGCGATTGTAAGGTCGTCAAGTACTCCCGCTTCCACCATCTCCAAAACGTATCGGCAAGGAGTTGCCCTTGTTTCCATCGTCGTGAATAACGTCCACATAAACTAACGTCGATTTCAGGAACCTGTTCAGGATTTCTTGATAAGAGAATATGATTTGGTGTCAGCACATCCAACTGACTTGGGTCATCATAAACAGGTACTAGCGGCCTACTATTTAGTATCCTTTCTACTTCTGTCAAATAGGTCATGAGTGATTCATCTGTGAGGACTTGCTCCTTCGAAACTGCGCTTAACACTCGACGTACGCTTCTGATCAACCCCTCCCATACTCTGCCACGGTGGCTAGCATAAGGTGGATTTAACTTCCATTCTATACCACGATTTGCCATAGCTCTCATCATACAATCACTGTCTAATTGTGGCACAACTTGCTGTAACTCACGATCAGCCTCCACAAAGTTTGTACCCCGGTCACTGAATATCTCCCTCGGAGTCCCCCTGCGGTTGGTAAAGCGTGAAAGCATCATTAGGAATGAATCAATAGAAAGAGCGTAAGCTACTTCTAAGTGAACCGCTCGAGTTTTCAAACAAGTGAATATGCATCCATGTCTTTTGTCTGTAGTCCGCCCCCGCCTAACGATAAAGGGGCCGAAGTAATCTACCCCGGGTGCTAGAGAATGGAAAATCTGACGTGACCCTTGCTATGGTTAATTCTGCCATCAGTTGTTCAGTAGGTTTTGCAGACCTGATTCGGCAACCGATGCATTTATTCACCACACGCTTAACTACTGACGCTCCTTTCAATATCCAATATTTCATACGCAATGCTGACAAAAGATGGACTACTCCCATATGTCCTTCAGTCTCATGATAATAACGAACAATAACCTCCGTGACAGGATGAGTTCCTGGCAATATAACTGGATGTTTTTCCGAACTTGACAGTTGACTATTATTCAGTCGTCCGCCGACACATATCAAGTCACCTAAGATGACAGGATGCAGTTTCTTGATACGTTGAAGGAGTGGCTTGTATTTACTATCCAAATGGCGTTCACACATAACTCCTTTGATTTTACCGAACTCTTGTTTTTGCACGTATCTAAGGATATCTTCCTCTGCCTCTAACATCTCACACGTTTGTAAAGGGCCTTGCACTAGACGTTTTAGTAGAAAAACTTTAAACCTTTTTAACCAGGCTACCGCTCTACGAAGTTTTGTCCAAGAAGAGAAATACGAGAATAAGGTGTCTGTCGGATTTACGGCTGTTTGTGTCGTTAAGATGGTGGCTTGCTTTAGCTTTATGTCAGATGGAATTATTTGCACGCTTTTTCCATCGAAATTCGGCCAATCCATTTTAGGATTTTTGAGAAATCCAGGACCATCGAGCCAGGTATGTATACGCTCGTACTCACTCATCTTTATTCCCCTGGAAGCAAGGTCAGCTGAATTCATATTAGTTGGTATATGTCTGATATGTATCCACATATATATGTATGTGTTTGTGTATGTTGGTCTCTCTTTCTGTTCGCTCTCTTAGTCTGTGACTATTTCTCTGGTCTGAACTTGTCTCCTTTAATAATGTGTATTCTCCTTATATTATATTATATATAATATGAGTGTATGTTGACAGTCCGTTGCTTGGTGACACATATCCATATATGGTTGTTGACATGTCTGCTATATTCGCTATGTATAATTGGATCGACACTCCATTATAATTAGCCATTCATGTTATGACTGTCTAATGATTTATTCCCAAGCTTTGTCTGGAACATTCATTTATATTTCGCATTCACAATTTGTGTGAACTACTTTACTTCTACTTTATTTACTTACCACTTTGGTGTGAGACCATTTTATTTTCGTCTCCTTGTGTTTGGAAAATAGAAGCATCATCGCAAACCTAGTGGTCTTCTGATTTCCGCCTTCTTGCGTCAGGACTATTAGTTTCTCGACCAGTCCATAATAACAATTTAGTGACGAGTACATAAAAATGTCGCAACCGAGCCCGCGTAGTGTTATCAAGTGTAAACCCTACTCTGTTAGCTATGTAGGTTTTGAAGCGGGATGTGGTATTGCGGATGTAGCTTAACACAATCATAGAATCTGTCCATAGATAAACATCACTTAGTTCCAACTTTATTTCCTCTAAGATGTATTTTAACAGCTTCACTGAGAGCACGGCTGCCTGTAGTTCTAAACGTGGCACGGTGACATGCTTCAAGGGAGCCACTCTAGATTTGCCCATAACAAAGCTGCAGCTTACTTCCCCTGAACAGGACTCGTAACGTAGATATGCTACTGAACCGAAACCTATTTCAGAGGCATCCGAAAATAAGTGCATTGAAACTGCTATAGGACTGAAGGTCTGGGGTCGAAAACAACGTTGAACCTCTAGATCCTTAATTCTCTTAATGTCAACAAGCCAAGCCTCCCATTTGGCACCGATACTCACGTCAACATGTTCATCCCACCCAAACTCACCTCGGCACAGGTGTTGCATTACTCTTTTAGGTGGAAGTAGTAGTGGGGCGACATAACCGAGTGGATCATATAAAGAAGCTATGCACGACAAGATTCCCCTCTTCGTTATCGGACGTACTGGCAGATTTACTTCAAACTTGAAGCAATCTGACTTGACACACCAGCATAAACCCAGTGTCTTCGTCGAATCTTCTAAATGCAGTATGTTTGAGGACCGCTCACGAACGGGGATGTTGGATAACACTTCTTCATTGTTACTATTCCATTTGTGCAAACGAAATCCACCAAGAGAGGCGAGCTGACGCAGCTGGTTGGATAAAGCTATGGCTTTTGCTACTGTTTCTACTGAGACTAGACAATCATCCACATAGAAATTTTCTCTGACAGTGCTTAATGTCTTCTCGTCAAACAATTTCGCGTTGTCGATTGCGGCTTGTTTTGAAGCATAGGCTGCACAAAAAGGTGATGAGGTAGCACCGAAGGGATGTACGTTTGATTCATACAGGCTCGGTGGTAAGTCCAGTCTACCCTCAGAATACCATAAGAAACTAAAGGCACTTTTATCCTTGACAGGTAAGCGAACCTGAAGAAACATCTCCTCAATATCTGCTGACAAGGCTACCCGATGTTTTCTAAATCTCAATAGTACCCCAGCCAAGTCATCTATCAGATCCGGTCCCGAATACAGACAATCGTTCAAGGACATTCCCTTACATTTAAAGGCACAATCGAAAACCACTCTAATTTTACCAGGCTTGCGGGGATTTATAACTGGGTGGTGAGGGATAAATCTACGTTTCTTGGAGAAGTCGTCAGGAACGCGACTAATACAACACTTCAACTCATGGTCTGTTAGTATTTGATTGTAGGACTTTAATAGGCTTTCGTCCTTTCTTAGTTTCTTCTGAAGACTGTCCAGCCTGCGTTCTGCCTCAGACCTATTAGGCGGTAATCTACGCCAGTCCTCTTTCCAAGTCAATGGAACTTCATAATGTCCGTTCCGCAATCTTATCTCCCTATCGGTTGCCTTCAGAACCTCTTTATCTATTTCAGAACTGGACCTTTCGCATGAGTGCTTGTCCTGAAATTCAGCTTCAATCATTCGCAAAAGCTTGTTCTCTACTGATTCACTTTCCTCTAAGCAGAAGATAGAGGTTGCTTCTTTATATGCGTTTCCTGAACCCAATAAATACCAACCAAAAACTGACAAAGATGCAAACGGTTGGTTGGATTTCCCTATACGCTGCTCCAGCACCCAGTGTGCTTCAGGTACATTAGTCCCAATTAGTAGACTGACCTGTTTACATTCGACGTCTAGAAAGGGAATTTCTGCCAGGTGAGGCCATTTTTTCATCTGTTCGTTTGAAGGAGTCTTAGGTCTCTTTACAGGTAAGCTTTCCACGGTGTAGGCACTCTTGACCCTCATCTTGTAATCTCCCGTTAAGGATTCAACTTCGAAATCAACCTTAGATGAATTCTGAGAAGTAGTTCCACAGAAAGATGTTACCTGCATCAATGTATTAACCCCTTCCAGTCCTATTTGGCGGGCAACATGATTCAGCAGCAGTGTAGCATCTGAACCATTGTCAAGAAAGGCATAGGTATCTAGAAATCCTTTAGGATCTAAGATTCTGATAGGATCCCACATATTTTGGTATTGACTGTTAATCTTGCATATATGGTATATCATCATTCCCACACATTTTGTTATTGACTGTCAATCTCGCACATATGGTATATTATCATCTCTCACGCACTTTGTTATTGGCTATTAAGATCAATTATTTCAAATGCTGTTAACTGTCCATATTTTTTTTTGTTTACAGCTTGATTCCACACTGTATTTTCGGTACAAGTATGGAATTTTCAGCAGGGATATCGGTAGCCCAAATTTTGCAGGCCGACCATAGATATCAGGTGTGCGTCGGTGCGGGCTCGAACCCCGGACCATGTGCATGTTGGGCGAGAGTTCAACCACTGTGCCACCGACGCAAAATGTATAAATACCATGGCTTTCTTTGTCGTTGTTGCACTTCAATACACAGTCACAGTCCAGCCTTTGTCTTTTGATATTTGCGTGCTTTACTAAATCGGAAGGTACGACAAGCAGATAGGCAGATTACTTCAGGCGCAGACAGAGCAAGGTGAAAACGTCTTCATTCAATTCCCTACCGTTATAACAAATTGGCGACGGGGTTTTACCTTAATTCATTGCAGCTATAGCAAGCAAACGACGACAGTTTTTATTCTGTTCAGCGCAGCTATATAACATTTTTGACTGTGTTAATTACAACCCAATTACAATGTCTATCTCTCTGGACGATCTCAAATCTATCTTGCAGCAGCAGCAAGTTCAGAATGAAGCAGCTCAACTAAAATTAATCGAAGCTCTCACTCAGAAGCTGTCCATTCAAGTTCCATCAACATCTCATTCTGACAAATATGAAAGCATCTCAAATTCCATCAGTGAGTTCAACTACGACCCAATATCTGGTCTCGTATTTGATGCATGGTTCAATCGTTACGAAGACGTTTTCCGTATTGAATGCTACATGTTTGATGATGCTGCCAAAGTCCGATTGTTACTAAGAAAACTTGGTACTGTTGAGCACAACAGATATGTTAACTTCATTCTGCCTAAGAACCCACGTGAGTTATCATTCGATGAGACAGTCACCGTTTTATCACAAATCTTTGGTGAACAGTCATCCATGTTTAATATTCGGTATCAATGTTTTCAGTTGACAAAAATGCCTTCCGATGATTATGTCACTTACGCTGGCAAAGTGAACAAGGAATGTGAAAGGTTCAAACCACACGAAATGACATCAGATCAGTTCAAGTGTTTGATTTTTATTTGTGGGTTGAAGAACCCAGAAGATACTGACATAAGAACTCGACTTCTGTCACTCGTGGAACAAGACCCGAAAATGACTTTACAAATGGTGACAGCAGAATGCCTACGTTTAATCAACTTGAAGCACGATACTGCTATGGTGGAGTGCAAACGACAGTCGTCTGAATTTGGTTCAATTAACACAGTGAAAAGTCCTCCGATCACCGTTAAGCACACAGCACGTCAGTCTCAGAATTCAGCTAAACCTCCTTCAGTGTGCTGGCACTGTGGTTCGTGGCATTTTGTCAAGTTCTGTCCTTTCAAGAAACATAAATGCCGTAATTGTCACCGTTTTGGACATAAGGAGGGTTACTGTCCACCGCAGAAAAATCTTCGGTGAGGAACAGAAGTAGTCGTTTCAAGCCGAAACAATCTCCTCGAGTACAGACCATTTTCACAACTTCTAAAGTCGATTTCGCCAGCAAACGTAAGTACATTACGCT